TCAGGAAAATGAGTCTTCCTGACTCCAGGTCCAGTGTTCTGTCCACTGTGCCACCTAGCTGTCCAATAATAGCTAGTATTTATATGTAGCACTTTAAGGTTTACAAAGCACTTTAAATATGCTATCTCATTTGATCCCCACAACAACCCTGTGACTTAGGTACTATTATTATCCCCATTTTGCAGTTAAGAAAACTGAAGCAAGTAGAGGTTAAATGACTTGCCCAGAGTCATATAACTGCTAAGTATCTGAGGCATAATTTGAACTCTGGTTCACAGAGTAGGAATTTAATAAATACTTGTTGAATTGAATCAAATTGTAGGACAGCAATAAGGTTAGTTATAGCTTACTTGGTGGTCTGGATCCTTGGACCCCTGAGTCTACTCCACTTTGCAAGTATAAATGGCTGTCAGTTACAGAGGCCTTAGATGCTGACCCCAGAGGTAGTGCTGGTAAAGGCATTTGCATGCAAACCTCCTAAGCACCTTTTGCTAGCATCCCACTGCAGTGATGGACCTGCTTGTTTGGGGGAAAGTTATTAAACTTCCTATTAAGGAAAAAATAAGGCTGGCATTTGAACTGGTAAATGTTAGTGAGACACTAGGTCTGACTGACAGTATTCTTCTTTGAAAAGGAGAAACCAGAGTCGACAAATGAGATACTCAGGAGGGTCAGTGATTTGTTTTTCATTTTAAGGCTTTCAGTTGCAGTTCATTTGATATATTTTAGGTCGTGTTAAGTAAGTGATCAGAGCCAGTACAAAACCTTCTTTGAAAAGCTGAGATAATACCGAACTAAAATACGTTCATCAGGAATGTTTGAGTCATTCTCTTTTGTTAGCTATTACTCAAAGCTTCAGCCAAAGTAGACTCATTTATCATACAGCAGACAGAGTGACACTGAAAAATGGATAAAGTTCATGGTAAGAATACAAAAAAAAAAAGTTGTTTTGATATCTCCATAAATTAGCAAAGACTCAAGACAAGGGAGGGTTCAGGGCCTGCTTGGTTATGGAAAGGTACTGCTTGAAACAACAAGGTAGGAGGCTGGGAGTTTGCAAATGTTGAGTATCTTCTCCTTTGATTTGGATTCTTTTTTTTTCTTTTTTTGAGGCAATAGGGTTAAGTGACTTGCCCAGTGTCACACAGTTTGTAAGTATCTGAAGCTGGATTTGAACTCAGGTCCTCCTGACTCCAAGGCCGGTGCTCTATCCACTGGGCCACCTAGCTGCCCCTCTCTTTTGGTTTGAAAGTAATAATATGATCTTTCCTACTGTCTTCATCTGAGAATAGAAACACCCCTGGCAGAAATGGGTATTGCTTCCATCCTACAGCTATCCATCCATCTATTCATTTAACAAACATTAATGAAATACCTAAACATTTTCAAAATGATATAAATTCCACTATTTTGTGGTTGTTATGTAAGTGGCTTAGTGGTAAAGTGGATATAGCACTAGAATTGAAGTCAGAAAGACCTTGAGTTCAAATCCTACCACATACACTTTGTCTTCTTTGCTGGATGGCACACCCTTTAATGGTGTCAGAGGTCTATCCCAGAACTGCTTTTCTATCTCTATACTCTCTTTGTGACCTCATCCATCTCCCGTGTCCTTAATTAGCATCTCTATACAGATGACTCTTAAGTTCTAGTTCTTCCTCACTGTCTGTTGGACTTTTCAACTTGGATGTTCTGTAGGCATCTCTAATAACTTCTCCAAAACAAGACTCATTCTGTGACAGTCCCCCCCACCTCAATTTCCTTATTTCTGTTGAAGGCATTATCATCCTTCTAGCCTCCTAGTTTGAACGACCTTGACATCATCCTTGGCTTCTCATTTTTATTCACTTCATCCATCCAATCAGTTGTCAAATTTTGTAGTTTCTACCTCCATAACATCTCTCACATGTGTCCCCTTTTCTCCACTCACATAGTCAACATCCCTCTTTAGGTCCTTATCACCTCTCACCTGGACTATTGCTGTAGTCTCCAAATTAACCTCTGTACCTCAAGTCTCTCCCAGCTCCATTCCATCTCCCACACAGCTGCCAAAGTGATTTCCTAAAGCACAAGTCTGACTATGTCATCCCCACCCCCAGCCCACTCCCGCCCCACAAACACACTCAATAAATTCCATTCACTTCCTGTTACTTCTGGGAGCAAATATAAACCACTCTGGTATTTAAAACTCATTACAACTTGGCCCTGACCTACCTTTTCAGCCTTCATACACATCATTCTCTATGCAGTCTAAGATCCAGCCAAACCATCCTTTTTGCCAGTCGTCACATGTAACTTTCCATCTTTCATCTCTGTGCCTTTTTCAAGATGTTTCCCATGCCTGGAATGCACTTCCTCCTCATCTCCACCTCTTTCAATCCCTGGTCTCTTTCAGTATGCAACTAAAGCACCTTTCCGTATGAGGCCTTCCCAAGTGTCACCAGCTGCTAGTGCCTTCCCAGTCAAAGTTACCTTATACCTGGTTTGTATGTGTTGTGTGTGAGTGCTGTTTCCTCTGTGGTCAGAATGTAAGTTTCTTAAAATCAGGGACTAATTTGATTTTCTTTCTGTTCTCACAGGCTAGAACTGTTTGGCACATAGTAGGTACTTCATAAATGCTTGTTGATTGATGTTATTATCATTATTGTAAGCATGCATCTGTATCTGATAGTGATTGTAGATAGGGACCAAATCTGGGGTTCCATTTGTGGAAGAAAAAGTTAGTACTCTACGTTTTAGTCACAAGCCTGCCTAAGGCAAATTTATTTATTTCATTGTAATTCTAATTCTTTTTAAAAAAAAGCATCTCTGTGGAGAGACAAAGACAGATAGAGAGGGAGGGAGGGGGAAAGAGAGAGAGAGAATCCAAAGGGAAAGTAATTCATCCTACATTTGTAAATTTTAATGTCTCTGAGTTATAATTTATATGATTCAAGAACAAAGAAAAATCCCACAATTAAACAAAACATAATTACAATGCTCAGGTAAAAGTTTAGTTATAATTTTGATTCATCAAACAGAACAATAGTCACCTAAAATGTAGACAGACTATAGGGAGCTCCCAGATAAGGGAACTCTTTACATCAGTGCAGATCAGCACCTTCTCAGAGAGCTGTCCAGGGCAGTTGGGTCAAACTCAAGTAGAAGGGACCATTAAATGTTCTGTAAGGATCCCTAGGAGCTGGCTACTGACTTCTTGTTGTTATTGTTGAGTCATTTCAATTGTGTCTGACTCTCTGTGACCCCCATTAGGGAGTTTCTTGGCAAAGATACTGGAGCGGTTTGCCATTTCCTTCTCTAGCTCATTTTACAGATGAGGAAATTGAGGCAAATAGGGTTAAGTGATTTGCCCAGGGTCACACAGCTAGGAAGTATCTGAGGTCAGATTTGAACTCAGGTCTTTCTGACTCCAGTACCTATACTCTATCCATTGCCCTGCCCAGCTGCCCTATGTTGACTTAGAAAACCACATTAACATTGTCTGTGTCCTATTATATATTTATTTTGTTAAATATTTCCCAATTACATTTTAATCTAACTGAGGCCTGCACTCAGGAGTGTTGTGGGCAGTTTGACACCTCTGGTCTAGGGTACCCAGGATTTGCTCTAGGTCACAAACAGCTGCTGTGCGTCAGAGTCTGAATTTGAGCTCTGACTCTGAGGACCATTCTCTATCCATCAAACAAAGATAAAGACAATCCTTACCCAAAATAATAAATAAATAAACATATGTATGTACATCCCAAAGCCTCCAATCCAGTAGGAGAGATAACGGGAGTGCCAAAATAAATACAAACTGATTAATATTAAGTGCACGTGGAAGAAATGCTAAGTGCTGTGAGATCAGAGGATTCTACTAGATTGGATTCAAAGAACATTTATTAAGCCCCAATGTTATAGGCAGCCTTGGAGTCAAGAAGATCAGAGTTTTTTCTGTCCTACTTCTAACGAATTGGCTTTTTGTCCCTGGACAAATCACTTAACCTCTCTACATGGTCCAGTTGTCTCTCTAAGATTTTAGGTTGCTAAGTTGCTAAACTATACTTGTTGAGGGAATTTCGACCTTGATGAAATCCCAGATTTGGACCTTCCTTCCATCCAACCCCCCAAAAGTGTGCAAGGAATTATGGTAGGTAGTAGAGATACAAAAACAAAACCATCCTTGCCCTTGAGGAACTTTCATTCTAGTTGGGGGGTGGGGGGTGGTGAGGTGCAAATTGTATACGAATAAGTAAACACAAAGTAATTTCAAGAGGAAAGGAGATCATAAGATTCAGAGTTGGAAGTTACCTTGGAAGTAATTTTCGTTCAGCCCCATTTCACAGATGAAGAAACTGAGGGCCACCTTGGTGAGATGGCTTGTTCAAGGTCACTCACCTAAGTGGCAGAGGTGGGATTCAAACTCAGGTCTTATGACTCTGAATCCAGTGTTCTTTCCACTATAATCTGCTGCTTTACTTTGGGGAGAAAGGGAGCATATTTATTCTGCAAGGTCTCTCCCATTAGATTGTAAGCTCCATGAGGGCAGGGACTATCTTTTGCCTCTTTTTGTATTCCCAGAGCTTGGTATAGTGTCTGGAATATAGTAGGCACTTCATAAATGCTTATTGACTGACTGATAAACTTGATTTTGTCTCATTCTCTTCTCTCAACATGCACATTAGATTGTGATGCTTTTTGACAGCAGGAATTATCTGTTTGTATCACTAGACCCAAGAACAGTATCTTGTGCTAATGTTTCATAAATTGAACAATATTTTGGCTATGCTTTAATTTAAAGACATATCACATGTGAAAAATCAGGGCCCACCTGAAAAGTTGAGCTGAGAGGCCTTGAAGCAGAAGCTGTATGACCCCTTCTGGGGGGGGGGGGCACTGTAGAGAAGATTCTTTTTTCAAGAACTGGTTAGACTGATGACCTCTGAGGCCTCTTCCAACTTCAAAGGAGTCTGGTATTCCAAGAGTAGAAATCTGATATTTTGAATCATTTCTCATTTCAGCTGTCCATGCCAAGAGCCTTGTGGCAATCCTGCATCTTTTGGTGGCTTTGTCCCAGTATTTTCGAGCCCCAATCCGACTCCCGGACCATGTTTCCATCCAAGTTGTGGTGGTTCAGGTAAGAAGGGTGGAATGCTACCTCTAAGTGGTCTAGACCCTGAGTGACAGAGGGGAGCCATAGAAAGACGTTTCCAATGTGTGTGCATGCTATGTTTATCTGTGTATTTATGGTATAAGAGGCGGATGTGTCTGTGCATGTGGGTGGGTTTATTTGTAGAGATGGTAACTGTGTACGTACATAGGTATGGCATGTCGATGTGGGGAGTTTGCTGGTATGACCATGTGGAAGGCAGAGTATGTATAGGTATGTGATATGTGTATTTGAGGGGTGTGATATATGTGTATTATATGTATTTGTGTATGTGGTGTGTATGTATATATGTATTCAAGTTGGTAACTAATGCTGCCCAGAGCAGCACATCGGGAGTTAGAAGTAACCTCTTCCCAGGTTAATAGATGGAATTTCTGTTTTCCTAAAGGTATTCCTAAAGGTCGTTGGGTTCCCCTAGAAAAATGGGCAGGCTTTCTGTGACAGGTAGAGAAAAGTTACTCCATTGTTCATCCCTGTTAGAGTCCAGAGTAGGTAGACATGCTCCTGAGTCCTGGCAATCCTCATAAACTCCCAGAATTCAAGGCACTGAGCTGGGCTATTGGGGCACAGGATATTTGGGACATGGACAGGCATCTTGGGTGGTGTACTCCTGAAGGTGGGACCCAAGGTGAAGTATTACAAACATTGAATTCCCCTTAAGATATCAACAAATCTTTATTCAGCCTCTGCTATGAAAGGAGATCTGAGAAGATCAGACTTTTGTTAAGGTTTGCCAGTCAGTTGGGTACTAGTCATCAAGCATTTATTAAGTTTTTATTATGTGCCAGGCACCAGGCTATGCACTGGGGATAAAAAGAAAGGCAAAAATACCTATTTTGTGGAGCTTACAATCCTTTTCAGAAGTGGCACAGGAGAGATTTCCGCCCCCCCACCCTGCCATACTCCTCCCTTTCATAAGCTAACAGTCCCTTTTATTTAGGAAAACTACATTTCTCATCTGCCTCCTTGCTGATAGGCGGCTTTGCCACTTAGTGCCTCCATTTCTTAGATAAGTCACCTCGTCTCTCTGGGTCTCAGTTTCCTGCTCTGTTCAACGAAGAGGTTGGACAAGATGGTCTTAAAGGTCCCATCTGGCTCTAAATGCTATGCATTCTACTTTGCCCTGATATATTCATCCTGATTTACAAAAGACAGGTTCCCCATTCCATTAATCCCTGCACCTAGGTGCTCTTTCCATGTCTCTCTAGTGGGAGTAGGATAGGGATGACCAAGGAAAAACCCAAGATTTTGCACCTGAGGGACTGGAAGAATAGTCATACCAATGAGGAAGTTGCAAAGGGACACCAGTATTGTTTTGGGAAACCATGGGTTTTTTTTAAGCCTATAAACTTAGTTTGGGACAATGACAGGACACCCAAATGGACATTTCCTATGGGCAACTAAAAATTGCTGTCTTCATCGTCATCATCATCCCTTTCACAACCATCATTACTGATATTGTAACTTGCAATGTTTTTGTGCCTGGAGCTGGGGGAGATTGGGACAAGAGCACAGAGAGACTGGATTATAGAAAAGAGGTCAAGGTGGGAGTTGTAGAGATGAGCATCTTTGGCCTACAGGTTGAAGCCATGGAAATTACTTCTCCAAAGGAGTGAGGTAGAGATAAAAGTGGGCAGTTAGGTAGCACAGCGGATAGAGTGAGTGCTGGGCTTGGAATTAGGAAGACTCATCTTTATGAGTTCAAATCCAGTCTCAGACACTTATTAGGTGTGTGACCCCGGATAAGTCACTTAATTCTGTTTGCTTCAGTTTCCTCATCTATAAAAATGAACCAGAGATGGGAATGGCACACCACTCTAATATCTCTGCCAAGAAATCCCTAAATGCAGTCATGAAGAGCTGGACATGACTGAAATGTCTGAACAACAAAAAAAGAGGTGAAAGAGGGGAGGAATCTGCACTGAGCCTTGTAGAACGGGGTGAACAGAGAAAGGAGCCAGGTAAAGAGGCAGAGAAGGATTGGTTAGAGAGGTAGGAGAGAATTTGGGCTTTTCTATTTGGTCCCAGAGGACAAAACCAGGAGCACTGGTTGAAAATAGCAAAGTTATAAATTCCTGTCTTGATGATGAGAAAAACATTCTAACAGCTAGAGCTATCCAAGAATGAAGTAGGCTTCCTCAAGGTGCAACTGGTTTTCCTTCATTGGAAGCCTTTGAGCAGAGGCTAGACTAGCACTGGTAGGCTATGTTGCGATGGAAATTCCTTTGGGGCTGGATGGCTGCTGAGTTGCCTTCCAGCTCTCAAACGCTGTGATGCAGGGAAGGGAAAGGAGAATTTCTAGAAGGAATGGCTATTAAACAGAAGTCAAGAAGAATGAAGAATAGGGGGGAAATAAGAGTGTGGGCTTTTGAATCTGGATACAAAGACACCAGTACCCTCTGAGAGGGAAGTTTCAATAGCTTGGTAAGGGATAGACAGGTGAGCAGGCTTCATAAGCCAGGTTACTGGGTGGCAAGGAAGCAATGAGTGCTGAGGAAGTAGCAGCCATGGCTGGAGATACTTTTGGATAAATTTGTCGTGAGCGGATTGGAGAAACATTGACAGGTAACTCAAAGAGTTTTGGGGGATCAAATCAACAATCTGGGAGTCTTTTTGTGAAAGGTGGGGATGTTTGTATCTGAAGAAAGGGAACATTAAAATAAAGGAAAGGGAGTGGCCAAAGGTGCTAATAAGGGAGGGCAGTCATTTCAAGGGTGGTCTCTGTGGAAGTGGGAAGGGATAAGATCCAGGCCACAGGTGGAAGAGGAAAAAAGCTGCATCCCTGAGACTAGGGAAGTGGAGAAATGAACAGAGAGATGTACAACCACCACGCCTCACACTTCCTCTTAGTTACCTAGCTATGTTTAATGTTCCCTTACCAGACTAGAAGCTTAATAAGGGCTCTTCTTATTTAAACTTTGTCTTTCCTAGTACTGAGGAGAGGGATTTGCACACACTAGGTGTTTTAAAATATTTATTAGATGGAATATTTTCTGACTCTGCTTATGGTCTCTTCTCCAGTTTGGTCAGTTTGGCAATGTTCCTGTGGTATCCAGGGGCAGTTAGGTGGCACAGTGAATAGAGCACCATCCCTGGAGTCAGGAGGACCTGAATTCAAATCCGGCCTCAGACACATAACACTCATTAGCTGTGTGACTCTGGGCAAGTCACTTAACTTCAATTGCCTCACCAAAAAATAAAATAAAATATGGTGTCCAGAATTTAACACAGTAACCTGGAGGTGAAAAGGGAGTCAGAAGACCTCAGTTTACATTTTGGACAAGTCACTCAAATCTGTGTGAACCTCAGTTTTCTCATCTGTAAAATGGAAATCATAGCATTCACATTATCTGTCTCAGAGGGTTGTCCGAGGAAAGGATTTTGTAAAGCTTAACATTCTACAGAAACATTAATTTTAATATTAAGACAAATGTATATATGGGCAACTCCACCTAGAGCAGGGGTTCTTTAATTTTTTTTTTTTTTGATGAGACAGTCAGGGTTAAGTAACTTGCTCAAGGTCACACAGGTAGTAAGTGTCAAGTGTCCGAGGCCAGATTTGAACTCAGGTCCTCCTGACTCCAGGGCCAGTGGACTATCCACTGTACCACCTAGCCACCCTTAGAGCAGGGGTTCTTAACCTGGGACCTGTGGACAGATTTCAGCAAGTTCATAAACTTGGATGGGGAAAAAAAGTTACATCTTTATTTTTCACTAGCCTCTGACTGAAATTTAGCATTTCCTTAAATTATGAGTTTAAAAAATTATTCTGCAAATAGGTCCATAGGTTTTACCAGACTGCCAAAGGGGTCCAAAAAGTTCAAGAGCTTTAAGAGGGGCTCAGTAAAGTCAGAGGTGAAACAGTCTCTGAGAATGAAGGAAGTAGAAAGAGGCAAGAAGTGTTCTGGGCAAAGAAAGCCCTAGAAGAGGCATTTTGTGAAAGTAACTGGAGTCGATGAGAGACGGAGATCGCCAGCACACGGAGGGCACATCTAAAGGGAGACAGCAAGAGTTTCTGTCAAGAATCCTGCAACTTTGTCCAACTATGCTCTGCAGCCTAAGAGCAGGGAAAGGAGATGCTGAAAATTGGTGCCATAGGGTTGGTAGTAGCAAGGCGGTGGGTCAAGGCGTACAGAGTGTGGGCCTGGTTATTTCTGACGTGGTTAACCATTAGGCATGAGATGAGGAGGCCAGAGGAGGCAAGAGGCCCTTGGTCAAATGGAAAGGGTAGAGTCTTTGGTTGCCCCGATCAATCAATCAATCAATAATTGATTATTATGTCTCTACTTCCACTGTGCTGACTGAACTGGGTTTTTGAGTGATGTCAGGGAGGTAGCTGTGATGAGAGAGAGAGAGAGAGCAAAGTGAGAGCCTTGAGCTGGGGTAGGGCCCCTTAATAAGGTCCAAGGCTGTGAGAGGCCACAAGAAATGGGCAACCACAGCCTCCTTAGTCCATGTGATTCGTTTCTCTTCTTTCCAAGCTCTGGGCTTTGACTTTTTCCCTAGCAGCTGGTCTCCCAGAATGCCCCTGCTGTATCGTACACTACTCCACAACCCATTTGCCCGGGGCTAGTGCAAGGTACCAGTAGTAATAATGACAGCTGACATTGATAAAGCGCTTAAAGGCCTCCAAAGCCTTTATATGCATCGTGTGAGTATAGGAGCTCCCAAGCAGAGCTTTCTCTTTTGCCCTTTTGCTCTTTCTCAGAGCGAAAGGCTGGATTGGGGTGGGATGAAGAAAGGAGGCTTTTAGCTAGAAGCCTCCTTTCCTCATCCCACTCCAGTCCATTCTTTTGTTCACCCTTCTTACTTCATGCATGCTTTCAATAATACAATTGGGAGAAATCTTTCAGATTTAGTTTTTATATCCAAACCAGCAACTTGGACTCTTTTAAATAATGCTAATAATAACTCACATGCATGGTGATTAATGATAATCTAAGATGTACTCATAATGATCTCACACT